TCATTGGCTGCATTTACTTTCAAGGTCGGGAGCGAGGACGAGAACAAGCTAATCGAGCGGCAAGGATCGCTGCACTGGCTGCAAGGATTGCTGGCTTCTGTATATCGCACGTCTTTACAGGTGCAAAACTCGTCTTACTTACCGCCAGTCCTCATGCATGAAAATACGCACCCACACTCTCATAGGCAATCTCAACTTTCCGACCGTAATTGAGGCTCTGGGTGCCGAGTCGATTATAATTGCTTTCAGTGTGTAACATAATTAGATTCCATATAACGTTTCAAGTAAGTGGGCCTATAAATTTTACGACTTTATCCCCTTCTTTGATGCTTTAATTCGCGTTCAAGTAAATGTAATCGAGAAAGCGCGGCCTATTCTAGAGTGTCTTCTTTAACTCAGTTTTCTTTATAAAGGAAAACTTAATTTTTGAATTGGTCTGTAATTTTTCATCTTTGGCCCGTGAAAAGTCATTAAATACTTTCACTGGTTCGAGCCATGCTACTTCGAGTTAAGTATATAGAAGGGGAAAGAATCTAGTCTCGTTGTTAGCAAGATCTGCTTTCGCGACGCAAAAATTTGCAAGATTAGAAAAACAAACCGATGGAATTTATTGTGGTTGCAAGTCGAGAAAAAATTGCAGCATTAATTTAAGTTTTCATAGTGTGCCAAAACAAACAAAGATTAAAAGAATAAACATGCTTGGAAAATGTAAAGATGTTGATAAGAGAAAATGGCTTAGAAGCTTAAAAGTTGTTGACGGAACAAAATATTTATTTCCTCATTATATTTTATAGCTGACGATTACCATATAGCATATATTGCAAGAAATAATCTAAAATAATAGATTTATGTATGAATGTTAATAAAATTCAGCAAACATTTGTTTTGGAAGAAAAAAATCGTTTTTGAAGCAGGACAAATTGTATTCGACCACTATTCGCGTAAAGCAATAGCATGTATCTTTGTTTTCTTTTAGTTTTTGTTTATGCGGTTTAAAATGTATATTGTTGTCGAGAGGAAAAGAAATCTTGTCATGAAAGTCGATAAGAAGCTCATTTTTCTGAGTTATCACGATTACGAGTACTGCCCTCGCTCCTAGGGACACGAATATTGCGTATTATATCTTGGATGTTCGCAAGTAGATGCGGGCAAATATATCATTACTCATTGCTAACGACGTCTTTCGCGAACGGTTACCTGGTTATAAATCTATAGATACGCCCTGTCGACACAAGGAACGCGCGTACCTTGTCCAGAGACACACTCCATAATGGAAACCCTTATAATTCCAAGTGCAAAACCCTCCTTGAAGCAAAAGTTATTAATTACTGTCCCCTTCCAGGCCTACTGATATATATCGAAAGCAAAATAATAACTTAAACAAACACTAGAATTAAAGGAACAGTTTTATATACGATTGTCGATTAACTTTACTGATTCGTGTGGTCGTTGAATTTTTATCGTATATCATTGTTCAATGTTGCCAATATGTTTTAAAAAGCGAATGTATTTTCAGCATCAAGTTTCTACTTTTTAATATTTAGTTCTTTCTTAATTCTTATGTTATTTGAATTTTGGTTTGCAAAAAGAAACTTAAAAGAAAAGACGTTTCTTAATTTGAATGCGAAGTTTGAGCGAATGAGCAAATTGAAACGGTAGCTAAAATTTTAATTAGGATTCTTGGCAAAGTAGATTTGAGCTGAGATAAAAGTTTTGGAGATAACGCAACTTAACAACTTGACGGCACGCATGGATACGTGTGGTCGAATCAATTCCCCGTCAAGAGGAGGTATCAGATGCATGAAAATGATAAAACGTAGATATCGGTGAAACATGCGTGTTACATTTTAGTCATAATAAGATGTGACTCACGGTAAAAAGCTCTATAGAAAAAAAATCTCTTTTTCCTTTGATGAGAAAACGAAATTTGCAACGTTAAAAGTGATATTATGACCATTTATTTCAAAGACTTAATAAAATTCATGAACACGAGCCGCCATCAACGATGAAAACTTTTCTGCTTGGTAGACATCAGATAAAAATCAAATTACCAACTTGACTTGGAGGAGCTCTCGCAAGAGAAACGTTTTTTGGATAAAATAACAAAATGAGAGGTTAAAAATTAAAAATTTATGTTTATCGACTTACTTACTTTTTTTTAATTAAATAGAATCGACAAACCTTTTTTTCTTTTTTTGCAAAGTAATGAACAACATTAACTTTTTCAATTTTCGTAGCACGTCTTTTGTGCGCAGAAAGAAAGTATAAAGTAAAAAAAGGGGAAATGACGTTTTTCTTTCGTGTGGTGCAATTTTTTTTTTCTTTTTCGAACTCTTTTCCTCTTAAGGCGATGAGTTACGACTTTGAAACGACCATGTCGTGAGGACCCGTAATGATGACTATTTTCTCTCTACTCGTCCTACAAGATACAAGAGAAGCGTTAAACGTACGTTATTTCCACTCTTCGATTACATCCGCCTTAAAAAAAAGCGGAAAAAAAAGAATCAATGAACGCGCAGCCAAGCTAACCCGGCACGAGTTCAGCGACTTGCGGCGAAGATGCTTTAGCATTCTTCCTTGTTTTTGTCCGCCTGCAAATACGTCGATTAATCTTGGTAAATGAATTCTAAGATTATCTCTTTTTCTACCAAAGGGTGCGAAGCAAGTTTCCTTTTTCCGAAGTTGATCGCACTTGATTGGAATTCAAACGTCTCGGATTATTAAGTTCACAATATACGGATATTTTTTCCAACGAGAACGGGAATGATTTTATTCTATCCTGTAGCATTTGGAAGACAGGTCAACAAAGGGGACAAAATGTAGTAAACACACGCTTTTAAGACAAGGTATTTATATTATTTTTCGAAAACTAGTAAAATTGAGTCTTCTGTAGGAAAGCAAAACCCGTATTTATAGACGCGTTGTATCAATAAGGGTTCTTCTTGGCACCCTTGAGTAGCCCTCAACTGTGAGAAACGAGATTATAAATACGGGCTTAGTACTTCCTTCCAACCAGACGTGAAATTTGCTTGCCAAGATAGTGTAATTAAATTAGTTGATAGGGTAATTAAATTAGTAATTTATAACTATTTAATTAGGATTTATTAATTTGCCTTGTGACGGGAAAATATTATCATGACGTTAATGCGTGAACATTGATTGAATATCTAAAATTTCATGCCTAGGGTTACTTAATTACAGGGTACGTCCCTGACCCCACATCGATCTATGCGCCAATATTTCGCTATTTTCCCACCCTATCGAAAAGCACTTGACGCTTCACAAAACACACGCGTATGTTACGCGTAAGTCACGCGTAAGCTCAATTGTTGTTAAAAACCACTATTTTTTTAAGCAAGAGAATTGACTGTATCATGAATTTTTCAGGTTTACACAGCAAATCTAATTTTACTGCAAAGAAGAATAAAATGAATAAATTGAAAAATTAAAGAAAGCGACCAAGTCGAGTAATGACGCGTTAATGGTCGCGGTATATTCTAAATAAGTATTTTCATCCCTCGACGAATGTTGAGTGTATCGTGCTTCATGCTTCTCTCTACCCTGTCCGAATACTAACGACATTGCTGCCAACTGAGGTGAACTTGTGGAGAATTTTAACCAGTTTGAAATTTTAGTAACCTCCGCTCAAACCACAGAAACGGCTTTACACATGTTTTCTCTACGTGTTTCTCAGAATTCGCGCGCGCAAAAGAAGGAAAATTAAAAGGGGTGAAAACTTGAATTTTATCAGTATAAGGAACTTGAAAGGCATTCTGCTTTTCGTCTATGTGAAAGACTTACATGTTCCAAAGCTGAAAGGCCTTTTTTCTGCCAGAATAAATTTACAAATACCTTACGTTCCTCACTTCGAAAATCTCTCTTTAAGGAAAACTATATTCTTGTGTGCATATACGTGAATTCTTCTAAAAAACATCTTCTCTGTATGAAAGAAGACATTATTCGATACAGAAATAATTGACAATTTATTTGTTAAAAAAAAAAATCAAAAAATCAAAAGGGTAAAATGCAATACTACATGGCAAATAAAGAAAAGTTTTGGTGTTGAGATTAAGTTCACTTTTCGGCCTTTGAGTTTTCCGATGGGATGTTGTTTCCTTATATTCGCGCTCAATTACACATGAGTTTTTGGGTAAGGATCGAAAACAGTAATTTTAAATCGACAGATGGTACGATGAACGCATGGACAAATTTTCCTAGGAAGACTCTCTGAAGTAAATATAAGAAAAGGGGGGACACAAAGGAGAGACAATTTCGCTGGTGGCGATCGTGAAAAGAGCTTGTAAATACGGAGGATTGTTCCCTCGTCAAACCACATGAATAAATAATAATGTGCCTCGGATTTTTTTTTTTGCTATTGAAGTGGGTATACTGACGAATGCGGGATAAGGTCTTATATATAGTGAAGGATAGGAAAATATAAATATTTCTATTGAGCAGCAACCGGCCGTACCGCCTCTACTTAAAACGATCCTGACCTCCATTGAAAAGCGATTTGTGCTTCCTTTTCAATGAGTAGGTCGCTTAGAGGTGAGTTTGCAACTGCACCGAAGCTATTCTTGCATTTACCTCGATGCGCTTATATGTATTGCCGGCTCGTCTCCCGCCCCACTCTTTATTTCTTTCTCTAACGACGTTAGTTACCTTGCCCAACTCAAGCACCTCTACATCATAAAAGGGTTGCTTTTCACCTCTATAGCCATGCTTGACAGGAGACGATGTGCTAGGCACAATAAACGCTCCACCAACAACAGCAGGTTCACCCAGACATTTAACCTCATCTACTGGGGGGTGAGAAGAATTTTACTAAAAATCATAAAATTCTTAGTTGACACAAGCCAACATGACTTTATTGACTTTTTTTCTGAAAAGAAAGGCGACAGTAAACATTAATTTTTCATTAAACTAAAATAAACCCAAAACCTTTTAATTTTAAAGGAATGGAATATTCTTACTAATTGTGTCTTATTCTCTCGTTTCAGGTAAGGATCGATTATGCATACAGATCAATCTATTTGTGAGTAATAAATTATTAATTTTAAACACTATAACTTGTTTTATGAATTTTGCAACTTTTCACCGTTTCATCTTTTCAACAAGTAATCTATTTTTAGCAAATCGGAAATAATTCTATGAACCGCGTGCATCTTTAAATTTGAATGACTTTGACTTCGTGGTTGATCTCGATTTTCTTGGCTGGAATTCATCGGGACTCGGAAGCCTTAGAAATCTCATGCCTTTGACGAAAATGATACTTCATCTCTCTCCCTCTTCCGCTTTTTTTCTCCCCTTCACGGTTATGGAATGCTGTGAGTCACCATCCTCTCTTTGATGTGTCTTTTTCATATAAGTATGTGCCTTCAACTTTTCTACCGTTTACAAACAATTTTTACACACCACTACTTTTTTCATCATGTATTTTTATAGGGATTTCCGCTACTCAAATAATGTGAACGTTTTTCAATTAATTCGCACGGTAATTATTCCGCCTTCTAAAAGAGAAAATTTGTCTTTTAAAAAATGAGTCTGTAAAAATGAATAAAATAATTAATAAATACAGACTTGTTATGAGGATTAAAAATGTCAACACATTTGAAGACAGTCAATTGTCGATGAAACAATTCACAAATCGATGAGAGAGGGACTTTTGTGAGATTCACATAAATAACAAGGTTGACCTACTCTCGGAGTAATTTCATTCTCTCTTGAGCACCTCGATTTGCATTTTCTCGCGAGAAAAGCATCCTTTGGTCTTGGTTCTTTTTATGTTCATCTCGTCTCTATTTCTTCCATCACGTTAACCCATTTTGCAGGTCAGTCGTTCCAAGTTTACAGGATTGCCGCGCGTTCGATCAGTCGTAAATGCAATCGCGCTTAGATTGTCAATCGAACTCGTTTCGAGTTGTGGCGGAAGATTAAACTAAATGATGTTGGTACACCTGTTCCCCAACAGCACACTTGGACTATTCTTGTTGTTAGTGGAAATTTCAAGCTTGCTGCTGCTGCTTCTGCTGCTGCTTTTAAAATAATATTTTAGCAGGATTATTGCCGATGGAAATTGTAAAACAGCTTAAGCTTCGCACTCGAGCGACCAACGGCATTATGCAAACCAAGTCACCCTCTTTCAACCCTCTTGCATCCTCTGGCGTACTCGCGTTGTCACCAACCCTTTCTCTCGTCTAGTCCTCATATACCTCGAGCGAAATTTCCATTCCTGATGTCGCGGATCCCCTCGTTACGAAAAGGAACTAACAATCCTCAGAGAATTCCGGTCTACACAGTTGTCATGGTTACCCGAGACACTGGAGACTGTTGCTTCGGAAGTATTATTATTCCCCATCGGGATGAATCCTTAAGATTTGCTCCGAGTCGACAAAGTCGTGACCTGCAAACTCAAAAAGAAAAAGAATTCAATCTGCAAGATAATTTTCTGCAGAAATTTTAACAGGTATATTCATTTTTAAAGGAGGGAATTTTTAATTAACGAATGAAGAAGGGGTTTGTGAAAACTATTTTTTGGAGTTCTATTTTATTAAATTTTAAATTCCCTCTGAGTTGGATTAATTATTCCTAATACTTCAGCGACTCTTTTTATCTGATTATTCTCAATTCTTTGGGCTGTTTGATTCCACAAGTCACGGGTATTTTTTTCGAGACCATTTTTTGCCCACAATTCCATTTCCACGCGGGATGAAATTGTACTTCTCTTTTGGGGGAAAGAAAACACCATTACGTCGCCTTCGCCCCTTATTCTTGGCTGTCCTGGAAGGAGGATTTGCCATTCGCGGAATCCAATTCAAACGTCATTTTCAGTATTCCACTGGGACGGTAAGACCGCGCGCTCTCTAATTCTAATGAGTTACTGTTGATCAAAGACAACAAACGTCATGCACGCGAGTGATGTTGACAAACGGAAATTGCATTATGTCAATGCGTGCTTGGGATTCAACCCTCAATTTCTCCTTCTCTCTTATTCTCGAATTCATCTTCATCTACCTTATCTCGTCATATCTCTATTGAGAAATTATAACGTTACCTCTGAACTTTTCTCCTACCGAGTATTTCGCTATCTCCTATTATATCTCCGTGTGTTATTCTCTTCCAAAGAGATACACAGAGCTTTTTCAGTGCAAAATAATCGAACGCGTATGTGTTCCCTTGAGCACTTTACCTCCGGAAAGGATGAGGCTTCCTGGAGTATACGAGACTTCCTCTGGATTGAAAGGATTTTCGCTCCTTGCATTAGCCCCCTTTTCGAAACGAGAATCCCGCAAACTCCTTTGGGATTGCAACGTAGCAACTGTAATTAAAATTACAAAATTGAATATATATAATATCTCGAAAATTCATTATCAATCTCTGTACGTACGTTATTTAAATTTTCCATGAGTGCATATGAAACTGATTATATAACCAACTTTCAGGAATAATTTACTTTTGCAAATTGCAATAATTACTAAACTGGAATTTGAACTAAAGAAATTTTTATTTTAAACTTGTTTCTCGATGTAAAATATTTCTCACAGATCCGACTTTTTATTTCCTGTTTCGTTCCAAACATTAAATCCTCATCCCTTTAGACTCGCCATAACATCCCCTATGAATTCACAAAAGACCAATATAATCTGTAAGGAGTATTTTGAAAACACATAAAGATATAACTTGCACACCTTGGAATCAGATTTCTATAATGTATTTCTAGGGGGATTAAGAGTGTGACAACCTTTTCTGTCGACGTCCTTTTTACGCCGTGGGAGGATTTAGGAAAGATTCTACTTGGCGGATCATAATAATATCATGGAAAGCGAATAGAGCTCTCTACCTGTCTCAATCAGGATTTATGCCAGATCCATTTGATTGAGCGTTTTCACGGCGAGATCAATTTCGTTACGTTGCGTTCATCCTTCAGCTGCTGTCACATTTCGGAAATATGCCCGGATTATTATAGATGTACACATCTGGCTGTACTTTCTATTAAGTTTAAATGAGAGGTGCATGCGAGGAATTATATACACGACCGCACATCCTGTCGTGGCAAATATTGATTTTGCTCCGTCGTTATAGGCATGACAATAATTTGTCACCAGCAAATCTCTGCGTGTGTGGTTCCACAAAGTACACAAATGGATCATGTTTGTTAAGGGCGAGAAACTGGCCTCCGGAGAGATATCCCGACGTCACATCTCCGTCGAGTCTTTCAAATATAACACTCTATTTATCCTTCTACTGGTGCTCCTTCTTCTATACTCGACAAGTATTTTGTAAAGAAATATTGTCCGAGGCGTAAAGAGTCTCTCGACTGCCGGCTGTGGTTAACGACGTTTCGCAAGTCTGTCTCACTCGCCGCGCTCTCTTTTCAACTCGGGAGAGATTATTTCCTCCCAGTTTCCAGTGTAACTGGATATTATCTCGCACCTTCGATACTTAAAGTGCAATTTGCCAAGAAAAGTCCCACTTTGTTTCTTCAGTAACAGAATCCAGGTGGCAACCAGCTTCTAGTCAAAGTAATTACACATTTTTTCAAGTCTACTAAAAAATTCTTTTATACCCCAAGGTAAATGCTGTTCTCGCTCTATTCTCTCAGGAATAGATTCAAATTTTCAAATATTCAGCATAAAAACATTTTATTTGCAAAAAACATTTGCAGATTCTTTTTAGTCTTTTCAGTTTCTTGTACTATTGAATGTGAATGACAGCAGAAAACTGGAGTTGCAATCCTTTCGGTGAGTTTGACCTAGTTTTTCCCATCACACACTGAAGTATTTTTAAAGACAGTGTTAACTTAGAAAGTAGAAATGTTTTCAATTCAGTAAAACATGAGGGAAAATTAATGAACTTGATAATAAAAGGACTTTAGCTGAGGAGAGATTTTGTAAATTAATGTTCTCCTTTTGAAATTACACAATTTTATGATGGTGTTCAGAATACTAGTTCGTCAATTACTCTGTGGGGTTTACGATGTGTTCACTTTTATGAATCTAAATTTCCCCATTGGCTGAAATGACCAATTTAGAGGATCTTTGGAATTCCAGTTTCTCAACGTCTCCTTATATCTTTGACTCTGCCAGGTCGATAAAGCAGCTCTTGTGCGGTTAATCGGTCCATTTGTCGAGGAAACGTCACTCCAATGTCGCTTCCTATGTATGCACTCACGTACTCTCGGAGCATTTGCATTCTCCCTTTCCCTTTATCCAAGTGTGCACACTTGCCACGAACTGCCGACATCGCCTTGTCCTTCTCCATCGAGTCATGGAATATCTCAAGTCTGACAGGTGCGCTGCAGTATTCCTCCTAGAGCTATGTATTCCCCTTAGTACTTCAAACAATTCCCGTTAGGACTTGTCACCTTTAATTAGATACAATTTTCACACTTCCGAAGCGTTGTCAAATTTTATTTAAGATTAATTCTTTTTTTACTCCTTTAAATGCGTATTAGGGGTCAATTATGTATTTTTTCCACTTTCCACTCCTACTTTCCTCTCCCACTCCCACTTTTCACTCTCTACTTTTACTTCCCTCTCTTTACTCTCAATATCCACTTCCCTCTTTCACTATCCATTTCCCTCTCTCACTGTCCACTTCCCCCTCACACTTTCCACTTCCTACCCCCTGACTATCCACTTCCCCCTCTCACTTTCCACTATCCATTCTCACTAATACTAACCTCACTGACTTTCCACTTCCTATCCTCACAATTCACTCTGACTATCCACTTCCCTCTCTCACTTTCCACTATCCACTCTCACTAATACTTACCTCACTGACTTTCCACTTCCCTCTCTCACATTTCACTCCTACATTCCTCTCCCACTCCCACTTATAACTTTCCACTTCCATACTCTCACTATCCACTTCCCTCTCTCACTATCCACTTCCATCTCTCACTTACCACTCTCATTTTCTACTCTTATTTCCCACTTTTCTGTCTCACACTCCACAAAGTGGGAAGTAAAAAGTGGTATTGGCAAATTTAAAGTGGATAGTAAGAGTAGGAAGTAGATTGTGAGAGTGAGAAAT